GACTCTCTCTCTCTCTGCCTCTCTATAACTCTGACTTTCAAATAAACAAATAAATCTTAAAAAAAAAAAAGCTTCAGGCGCGACACATGTCACCTATGCAGGCAACAACAGCTTATTATTCAAGGAGCCATCAGTTAAAATGTCGACGGATGTCACTGAAACAGTTCGGGCAAATGCTAAAAAGGTGAAGCCCAGACTCCAGGGATGAATTCTGCTAGAGGAAGAGGAACAGACCTTACTGGACCCACAGAAGCAACCAGCAGTCGGTAAGGTGGTAACTGGACCTCCAGTTTGAACCAGCTGGAAAATCCTTCTGCTTCCTAAATACCAGCAGGATTGCAGCATTGAACCAGCCCAGTGGGACTTCTGAAAAGGAGAGACAGGGGAGAGTCAAGTTCCTAATACAGCATTATTTGAAGTGGCTTTGAACTCTGTGATGAATGACATGCCTGGGTCCCCTCGGGCCAGTGTTCCAGCAGCAGGCAGGGGAAGCAGCTACTGTGTGTCCCCCTCTCTCGTGGTGGTCATTTCTCATCACTGCAGGTGGATACAAATGACTCCCTGGACCCTCAGTTAAGCAGCCAGCGTCTCCAAACTGGCAGCGCAGTCATCTGTGAAAAGAACTTGGAATTTATTGGGACTTTCCAGAAAATGCTTTTTAGGAGATTCGGAGTGTATTAATGCTTGGGTACAGTACTCCAGGCAAAAGGCAATTTTTCTTGGTATCTGTACTTAAATTACATTTGTACTTTTTAAGTAAATTAACCACAAGAAAAATCTCCGGATGATGGAGGCGGATGAGCACTGGTGGCATCCAAATGACAGCCACTCCTGTTATTTTTTAAAATGGCTAAAAAAAAAGTCAAATGTAAGCCCCATCTTATTTTAGGAATATGGAACCTGAAAAACATGACTTAGTGGATGATGTTCCCTTCACACATGTGAGCTTTCTTTTTTTAAAAAGATTTATTTATTTATTTATTTAAAAGGCAGAGTTACACAGAGAGAGGAGAGGCGGGGAAAGAGAGAGGTCTTCCATCCACTGGTTCACTCCCCAGAGGATCGCAATGGCTGGAGCTGGGCCAATCTGAAGCCAGGAGCCAGGAGCTTCTTCTGGGTCTCCCATGCAGGTGCAGGGGCCCAAGGACTTGGGCCATCTTCTACTGCTTTCCCAGGCCACAGCAGAGAGCTGGATCAGAAGTAGAACAGCTGGGACTCGAACCAGTGCCCATATGGAATGCCGGTACTGCAGGCAGCAGCTCTATCAGCTATGCCACAGAGCCAGCCCCTATATGAGCTCTTAAAAAAAAAGAAATGAAAGCAGGTGTCTGCGATTTCTATTTATTCCCTGCTGGCTATTACATAGGTCTTGTCTGGGAGCAGGGAGAGAGCTTTTGTTCCCTCTGGGTATAATGTAGCCAATGCAGTAACAATTATGTACATTTGAACTCGGTTACTTTAAATTTGATCTTCCGCTGTACTGTAAATAGGGCACTGCACTGTAGTATCCCTATATGTTTATTACTTTTCTGTAACCTTTAAGGAGTGCTTAAAGTATACAAATGTACAGTTACCAAGACAGCTAATTAGCTTCTCTCCCGCCTTTGAAATGAAAGGCTTTCAGTTGTCCCTCCCTGGGAAGAACCATAATAAGCAATATCCCTGTCATTTGCAACATAATGATTGTGATGTTAGTGACAGTCTTGCAGCCTTGTTTTCCAAAGTTCATTCCATTTTGATCAGTTCAGTATATTGCACTGATTATTCTAGGCAATTTCTTTTTTTTTTTTTTTTAAGATTTATTTATTTATTTGAAAGGCAGAGTTACAGAGAGGCAGAGGCAGAGAGAGAGATTGAGAGAGAGAGAGAGAGAGAGAGAGAGAGAGAGAGGTCTTCCATCCGCTGGTTCACTCCTCAGCTGGCCGCAATGGCCAGAGCTGCATGGATCCAAAGCCAGGAGCCAGAAGCAGAGTGACAGAGAGTAAGAGACCTTTCATCCATCCACTAGTTCACTCCTCAAATGGCTGACAGTGAGGGTCTGGCCAGGCCAAACCAGGAGCTAGGAACTCCATCTGAGTCTCCCTTGTGGGTGCAGGGACCCAAGCAATTGGGCCATCTTTCACTGCTTTCCCAGGCCACAGTAGAGAGCTGGATGGGAAGTGGAGCAGCTGGGACTCGAACTGGCACCCATATGGGATGCCAGCACTGCAGGTGGGAGCTTTATCTGCTATGCCACAATGCTAGCCCTTTTATTTATTTTTTTTTGAAAGCTGTCATTTACCAAAACGTAGACATTCACATTAGAAAATCCAGAAATAGTGAAAAGTGGAGGAACAACCCCATTTGTACACAATCCTACTTCTTGGTGGCTGTGGAAAACATGGAGTTTTGGGCCATTCCTTGGCACAGCAAAAGCACCAAGTCTCCCCAGCCCTGGGTGACAGCTCAGCACCACCCATCTATTTATTTATTTATTAGATTTTAATTTTTTTAAAGATTTATTTATTTTACTTGAAAGTCAGAGTTACACAGAGAGAGAAAGAAAGGCAGAGAGAGAGAGAGAGAGAGAGAGAGAGGTCTTCCATCCACTGGTTCACTGTCCAATTGGCCACAACTGCCAGAGCTGTGCCAATCCGAAGCCAGGAGCCAGGAGCTTCTTCCAGGTCTCCCATGTGGATGCAGGGGCCCAAGGACCTGGGCCATCTTCTACTGCTTTCCCAGGCCATAGCAGAGAGCTGGATCGGAAATGGAGCAGCCGGGTCTTGAACAGTGCCCATATGGGATGCCAGCGCTTCAGGCCAGGGCGTTAACCTGCTGTGCCACAGTGCTGGCCCCTAGATTTTAATTTTTTATGACTTTGCCAACTTTTTATTTTTTGCATAAATTATATTTATTTTAAAATTCCACTTGCATTAACTTTTTAAAAATTATTTTGTTTAAGGAATACAGCTACATGTGTTTAATATATACAGATTTGGGAACTTGAGGATTCTTCCCCGCTCTCTCTCTCCCACTCACATTCCCGCCCTTTTTTCTCCTCCGTCTGCCTTTCCCTTTCTAATTTTTTATGGAGATCCATTTTTCCAGATAATTTTATTCATTTTTAATTTTTTTAGAGCGGTTGTTGAGTCACAGCAAAAAATAGGGGGGCAGGTATGGAGATTGCCCCTGGCCTCTCCCTGGGGCCAACAAGCCCCACTAGAGCACGCAGTATTTGTTACATCACATGAGCCCACGTCGGGGGGCCACTCTCACCCAGAGTCCGCAGTTTGGGGCTCACTGATGGTCTTCCAGGTTTTGTGGATTTGGACGACACACTTACGGCGACCCCTGTGCACTGCTGCAGTATCCTGCCCTTCACTGTCCAGCTCTGGCTTCCCAGGGAAATGCTGCTGGCCTGGTCTAGCAATCCAGGGATGGCGTTAGCCTGAGAGCTAATGGGAGAGGTGGCCACCGGAACCTGAGGTGGCACAGCCAGCCGCCGCCAGGAGCAGGTGCAACAAGGGTTCCTTCTCGCAGCCCTCAGCCGCCTTTGATCCCACACGTCTGTCCCTACAGCATCTGTGATAAGGGTGATCCCAGGGTGGAGGAATCCTGATTGGTCATGCCAGCCGAGCCTTCAGGGGAGATAAGGATGCCATCCTTCCTGTTCCCTGGGTGGGAGAAGTCACCCAGGAGACATGGTCTCAGAAACTCCCTCTGTAGGTCACTCCACCGAAGGGCTGCTCCTCTCCCAGCCGGATTCCCTTCCTTGCGTCTGTCCTCGGGGGCCAGAATTAGCAAACAAACACTTTGTGCTTTTCGGAAAAACAAACACTCTGGCTAAAATTAGGGGGCGGAGAGGAAAAATCGTACGAAATACTGAAAAGCGTAACCTGGAGCCCCTCTCAAGGCTACTGGTCCCCAGCTGTGATGACATCACTTCTCCCTGAGGACTACAGGTTGCGCCCCCGCCCCCACCCGGCCCCAATAAGGCAGCCCAGGGACACCGCAGACGCCCCTATCTGTCCATCTGGCCCGGCGCCATCTGCACCACTCACCTTGGCTGCTATTATGCCTTGGGGTTGGCCCAGGGGAGGCTGTGTCAGCCAAGCACCCCCAGGTGTCCTCGGGTAGCCCCTGTGAGGGTCCCACGGCAAGCTTAGGCTCACGACCGAGCGGTGCAGGCAAACAGGGAAGAACCAAAACACTGCTTTCCAGGGTAATGCCTGCATGTCCAGTGGCCACTAGCTCGCAGCCGCTGATATCCTCTCTGTTATTTAAAATTCCGCAGCGACTCGTTCCGCTTCTGACGCTGTTCTATGGGGGTATAGTCTTGCTGCCGGACTTCCGGCCACTTTTGATGCCAGATCAGCAATGCCAGAGCTGCAGGGGTCACTCCGGGGGTTCTTGGATTGGACGAGTGAACATTTTCCGCTCTTAAAATTAAGCAGAGCAGTCTTCCAAGCCACACCCACAGCCATCCTGCGTTCTCCAGCCGCCACCTCCCCTACCCTTCAACCAGACCTGCTCTTAGCTCTGGCTCCATATCAGCCCTAGGCACTTGGGACCTGAGCCCTGCGCCCTGGGTGGGGGTGGGGTGGTTCCTGTACGAGGGGCCGCGACCCACCCCCCCCAACCCCTACTCAGAAGTTCCTGCCCTGACAGGAGGGGACGACTCTCTAGAACATTCTTGACCCTGGTCCTGTGCACCTGCGGCAGAACCAGTCTGCACATCGCTCCACAAACACCCCCAGCCCCCGGGCACCCACGCACTGGCCAGACCCTCAGGAGGTGTGTGTGCTCCGAGATCCCGCCGGGATAAGCCTGGTAATTGGAGGGCAGCAGGCGGAGATAGGCGGCCAAATTATTATAATGCAGGAGCAAAGCAAATGCTGGGTTCTGGGCCGTTTTACTGGGGACTCAGGGTGGGAGACAAAAATCTGAGAGCGGATGGTAATTTCCCCTATGAAGAGGCTCCTGGGGATCTAAAAGGAGTTCCCGACCTACAAATTAGGCTGACTCCAGCCCCTTGGTGCGCCCGGATATTTAAGGGGCGCGCCAGCCCCGCAGCGCAGCGGCTGGAGTGCCCCCTTCCTGCACGCGCGCACAGCACTCACCGACCTCAAGGTCCGCACCGCCCGCACGACCGGCACGCACCGCCCCGCGCAGTCCGTCCACGCCAGCCATGAGCCGCCAGCTGTCCCTGTATTCCGGCGGGGAGCGCCCGGGCTTCAGCGGCTCCTCAGCCGTCGTCTCGGGCCGGCTCAGTAGCAGCTCCACCTCGTTCCGGGCCGGGGTCAAGGGCGCGGCGGCCTTTGGCAGCAGGAGCCTGTTTTGCGTCGGGGGCGGCCGGCGCCTGGCGCTCAGCGCAGCGGCGGCTGGGGCCGGGCGGAGCGGCGGCCGCCTGGGCGGCTTCGTGGGCACGGTCTTCGGCAGCGCTGGGCTGGGACCTGCGTGTCCATCCGTGTGCCCGCCCGGGGGCATCCCTCAAGTCATCGTCAACAAGAGCCTGCTGGCGCCCCTCAACCTGGAGCTGGACCCTGAGATCCAGCGGGTGCGCGCCCAGGAGCGGGAGCAGATCAAGGCGCTGAACAACAAGTTCGCCTCCTTCATCGACAAGGTGGGTTCTGTGCACCTGCTCATCTTCCCTGCGGAGCCCACGGTGCACCCGGCTCTGCCATTGATGAACTCTGTGACAGCCGAGGAGAGCTAAAGCCGCCCTCCCCAAGCCTCTATTTTCTCATCTGTACAATGGGCTCAGGTCCGGGACTGCCACCCGTCATGGTGCCCAGGCAACCAGGAAAGACCTGGAAGGGAGGATTCAGGGTGGTCGTGTGAGCCGGGAGGGGCGAAAAGGGGTGGGATTGGGGGAGCTTTGGACGCCACACGTGTTAAGAGGAGTGAGCCCCGAAATCGGGGTGGTAGGGAGGGAGCCTGGAGACGCAGAGGCGGTGACTTCAGAGTGGGGAAAGACGACAGGGCCTCGAAGTGACAGGGGCCGAGAGTAACCGGGGGTGACACTGACAGGGATGTTGCTTGGTGACACGGATGGGACTTACTCAGCACCGGCACTTTACAGCAAGAGATGATAGTGCTGCTGTGCCCACTTCCTCCTTTCTTTTATTCCTCATCTGAGAGACCCGACCCTCTGGCCAGAGCCACCCTTCGATGAGCCTGGCTCCTTCCTGCTGCCACCCCACCCCCTCGACATGCGAGGCTTCCCCTCCCCACGCTGGGAGGGGACAACAGCACGGGGGACTCTGGGCTGTGACCGCCTGTGCTTTCCAGGTGCGCTTCCTGGAGCAGCAGAACCAGGTGCTGGAGACCAAGTGGAACCTGCTGCAGCAGCTGGACCTTAACATCTCCCGGAGGAACCTGGAGCCCATCTACGAGGGCCGCATCAGCACCATGCAGAAGCAGCTGGAGATGCTGTCGGGCGACCGGGTGAGGCTGGACTCGGAGCTTCGCAACATGCGCGACGTAGTGGAGGACTACAAAAAGCGGTGAGTGAGCGCCACGCATGCGCACGTCGGGGTCGCGCTCCACGCGTTTCTGCTTAGAGCCTGCGCTTTCGCCTCAACTGGTGCCGCTGGGACCCCAAATGGTGCTCTGAATTGCAGCAGGAGCGAGAGACCCGATGGCCTCACGTTGGCCTCACGTTTCTCCTTGGCGGCTCCAGACCAGAGACATGCCGCCAGTCTCAGGACACATTTTAGAAGGTTTTTTTTTTTTTTTTTTTTTAAGATTATTTATTTGAGAGGTAGAGTTACAGAGGGAGAGGCAGGGGGAGAGAGAGAGAGAGAGAGAGAGAGAGAGAGAGAGTCTTCCATCGCTGGTTCCCTCCCCAAATGGCTGCAAAGGGTGGAGCTGCGCCAGGAGCCAGGAGCTTCATCCAGGTCTCCCATGGGGGTGCAGGGGCCCAAGGACTTGGGCCATCCTCCACTACTTTTCCAGGCCATAACAGAGAGCTGGATCGGAAGAGGAGCAGCCGGGACTTGAACCGGTGCCCATACGGGATGCTGGCACTGCAGGCGGTGGCTTAGCCCACTATACCACAGTGCCGGCCCCACATTTTAGAGTTTTAAAAGCTTGCTTCCTGAGAGGCTGAATCCCATCGTTGAGGCGAATTTTTAGCCACTGTGTGGAGCCAGAAATGGTCTCTCCCTTGGAGCGGAGCCAATGATGAGACAGCGAGGCCTCTGGCTCAGTGTGACCCGGGGTGTCTGGGGACAGGGGACTGCGTCTGCAGTTCCAGGGGTGGAGGTGCTCTTTCTTGTGCTCCACATGCAACCTGTCCAGGCTGATTCTGAAGTCCACCCCCCGCCCCCGCCCTGAGCTAAGTCCTAGCCGGAGCCTTCATGGAGACCTGGGGCTGTGTCTCACGATCCCGAAGTTCCACAAGCCCCACTCCCCTCTGCCTGAGTCTCTGGGGCTTTTATGAGCTTTAGCTTTAATATTGATAGAAATCAAATACCGATCCTGGCCCCGCTGCTTGGAAGAGCTGCCGAGAGAGTAATGCCGGAGGCTCTTGGGAGAATCCAAGCGCCCCACTCGGCTCACGCCTCGTCCCCGGCCTCGGGAGGGAATCCCGGCATCACCACTAACGAGGGCTAGGGTCTTGGCCAGCTTTGTTTGTACACTTGGGATCATAATGGGACCCGCCTCGTGGGGCTGTTGCGGGGTTACATGAAATAATGTGGGTGGAGACTTTGGGGCAGTGTTTAGCATGTGTGTGGTCATGAGTAGGAGAAATAATTCGATGTTTGTAGCAGGAGCCTTTTCGAGTTAGCTTAATCACTGATCTCTTCTGCCTGGGCTGTTTACGCGCCTCTTATCAGAAGCAGATCCTAATTAGAGCTTCCAGAGTGCCCTCACCCTCTCCTAGACCCCAGTGTCTGGATGACAGAGCCTGCTCACTCAGATGGTGGATGGTGGGAATTGAGCCACCATGGCACCCACATACAACTGCATGTGTGTGATGAGCAGTGTAGCCGTGGTGATTTTTTAAAAAAGATTTTATTTATTTGAGAGGTAGAGTTATAGACAGAGAGAGGGAGAGACAGAGAGAGAGGTCTTCCATCCGCTGGTTCACTCCCCAAATGGCTGCATCGGCTGGAGCTGCGCCGATCTGAAGCCAGGAGCCAGGAGCTTCTTCCAGGTCTCACACGTGGGTGCAGGGGCCCAAGGGCTTGGGCCATCTTCTGTTGCTTTCCCAGGCACATCAGCAGGGAACTGAAAATGACAACTTTTGTCATTGATTTTGACAACCATCTTGACCAAGTATTTTTAAGATATTTTATGAAACAGGATGATATAAACTAGTAAAAACTAATCAGTCTGGAAAATAGCATATCCTTTATTTTTATTAAGAGAAGGTAGAAATGATTGTTTTATAAAAGGGATAATGATTGACTCTAATGCCGATAACTATTTTGTGATACAATTTCATAAAAAGATTTCAATTCCATTTGAGTATGCAGAGTATGAGTTAACCTGTGGAAACTGTTTCCTGTGAGTTTTATCCAATGTGAGTGGGAGAGTCTGGCGGTCTCAGAGGCCCTGCCAGTCCTGTTCTGCAGAATTGGCTCTGTTAACCCACCTGCCTCCACCTGGGTCGTGCACCGGCACAGCTGCTGGCGGGGGGCGGGGGTGCTGGCTACAGGGGTGCACCTTAGGAAGGAGTTGAGAGCTGAGGAGAATCGTTTGCGTCCAAGTAAGTAAAAAGAAAGGCATTTTCTAGCAACCTTTCTTCTATTGAGTTTGCTGTTGTAAAATACACGTATATAAAACTTGCCACTGTAACATGAGTGATAGCATGGTGGCACTGTGTGTGTTCATGATGTCGGGCAGCTGTCACCACCGCCCACCCCACAGCCCTTCTGTCTCAGGACCATTCAGTGACAACGCCCATCTCCCCCCAACCCCCAGGCTGAGCCCTGACCACCACCTGCCTGCGGTGTCTCTGTGGTTGGGACTATTCTGAATGTCTCAGATGAGTGGACTCGTGCAGTAGCTGTCTTTTTATAGCTGACTTATTTCCCTTACCTTAGCAAAATGTCTTCAAGCTTCACCTGTGTTATAGCATACTGGGGAATTTGCTTATGCTTTTTTTAAAAAAAAATTTTATTTATTTATTTGAGAGGTAGAGTTACAGACAGTGAGAAGGAGAGACAGAGAGAAAGGTCTTCCTTCCATTGTTTCACTCCCCAGATGGCTGCAACAGTTGGAGTTGTGCCAATCTGAAGCCAGGAGCCAGGAGCCTCCTCCCGGTCTCCCACGTGGGTGCAGGGGCCCAAGCACTTGGGCTGTCTTCTACTGCTTTCCCAGGCCATAGCAGAGAGCTGGATTGGAAATGGGGCAACTGAGACTAGAACGGGCACCCATTTGGGATGCTGGCACTGCAGGTGGAGGATTAACCTACTGCGCCACAGTGCCGGGCCTTGCTTGTGCTTATTTTAAAAATTTTTATGTATTTTTACTTATTTGAAAGGCAGAAAGAGAGAGAGAGATTGAGAGAGAGAGAGAGAGGGGAGAGAGAGAGAGAGGAAGAGATAGAAGAAGGAGGGGGAAGACAGGGAGAAGGAAAGGGAGTCAGGGGTAGAGAGAGGGAGAAGAGAGGGAGATTTCTCCTGTGCTGGTTCACTCTCCAAGTGCCTGCACCCTCTAGTGTCAGGCGGAAGCCAGGAGCTGGGACTCCATCCGGGTCTCCTACATGGGTGGCAGGGAGCCAACTACTTGAGCCATCGCCTGCCGCCTCCCACAGTGCGCATCAGCAGGAAGCCAGGATCCGGAGTGCAGCTGGCATCCAGGCCGGCACCGCGACCCGGGCTGCAGGCATCCTGTGCGTTGTCTTAACCGCTGCCGTGAACTCGCCTGCCTGCCTTCCCGGGGGTGAGCAGCACGCGCGCACACACACACACACACACACACACACACGCCGCCTCCTGCTGACTCATTGGCTTTAGTTATTCCCATCGATGCTGTGCTTCATCTGCTCTCTCCAATGTCCTATGAAAAATCCTGTGACGACAGTAAGGGATGGGAGAGGTGACCTCTTTAAGTAAAATGAAAAACACTGTTAACTCACCCAAGTACGATCTATCTGTCTTAAAACATCCCAGTCAGGGCCAGCGCTGTGGTGTAGTGGGTAAAGCTGCCACCTGCAGTGCCGGCATCCCACATGGATGCTGGTTCAAGACCCGGCTGCTCCACTTCCGATCCAGCTCTCTGCTATGGCCTGGGAAAGTAGTACAAGATGGCCCAAGTGCTTGCCCCTGCACTCACGTGGGAGACCGGGAGGAGGCTCCTGGCTCCTGGTTTTGGATTGGCACAACTCCAGCCGTTGTGGCCAACTGGGGAGTGAACCAGCAGGTGGAAGACCTCTCTCTCTCTGTCTCTCTTTCTCTCTCTCTGCCTCTCCTTCTCTCTCTGTGTAACTCTGACTTTCAAATAAATAAATAAATAAATCTTTAAGGCCAGCGCCGTGGCTCAATAGGCTAATCCTCCACCTTGCGGCGCCGGCACACCAGGTTCTAGTCCCGGTCGGGGCGCCGGATTCTGTCCCGGTTGCTCCTCTTCCAGGCCAGCTCTCTGCTATGGCCTGGGAGTGCAGTGGAGGATGGTCCAAGTGCTTGGGCCCTGCACCCCATGGGAGACCAGGAGAAGCACCTGGCTCCTGGCTTCGGATCAGCGTGGTGTGCCTGCCGCAGCGTGCCAGCCGTGGCGGCCATTGGAGGGTGAACCAACGGTAAAGGAAGACCTTTCTCTCTGTCTCTCTCTCTCTCACTGTCCACTCTGCCTGTCAAATAAATAAATAAATAAATCTTTAAAAAAATCCCAGTGCTATCCAAATGCTGATTCTAAGATCTTGCTTCACCATGAGTAGAAATACAAGGATACTTCAAAAAGTTTGCAGGGAAAATGGAATTAAAAGTTAATTTTGGTGCAAGTTTTTTTTTTTTAAATGTTTTCAGAATATGCAATCCCATGAACTTCTTGCAGACCTTCTGTATGTATAAGTTCAAACACTCTTGGCACCAAAATCAACTTATCTTTCATTTCCATTTTCCGTGGACTTTCGGAGGTCTGCTTTGTGAACAATCGGTATAACATTCCGTTCAAAGGCGTTCGGCGTAGCAGCTAAGACACAGATTAGGACACCTGAGTCCATTATCACAGCGCCTGGGTTTGATTCCCGGCTCCAGCTCCTGAGTCCAGCTTCCTGCTAATGCAGACCCTGGGAGGCTGCAGGGATGGCTCCGGCCACCCATGGTGGGAGATCGGGATTGATTGCCCAACGGTTGTGGGGAATTTGGGGAGTGAGCCAGTGGATGGGAGTTGTCTGTCTGTCTGTCTCTCAAATAAATTTAAAAAGAAAAGGTGAGAATAGTGCTTTTGGGTGGTGCCTGGGAGAGCTTTGTCTCCAGCAGTGACGCAGGTCAAGGTGCACACGGCAGAGGGTGCCTTCGGTAGCGAGTGGGAGGCCGGGCAGTGGCCCCTGTACTGTGTCTCTGGTGGGCACTGGGGGAACCGAGCAACGCTCACGTCCTCACAGCAGTGCTGCCTCCCCGCTCCCGCCCCGCGCAGGTACGAGGTGGAGATTAACAAGCGCACGGCCGCAGAGAACGAGTTTGTGGTGCTCAAGAAGGTACGGGGGTGCAGGAAGGGGCCCAGTGCCGGCTGTAGGGACCCTGGGATTCTGACTGCCTGGTTCCCTCCCCTCAGGTGCCTCGCCTGGGTCTGGGATGCCTGCTGCTCCCAGGACCCCCAGATTTAAATCGCAGGCATCCTGCTGCACCTGCAGCTGGGCCAGCCCCCTCTCCCATCAGCTGGTCTGCTCAGGGGGACTGGGCAGGGGGCAGGGGAATGGAGGGAGCGAGGGAACGGGGCCCCATGGCTGGGAGGGGGAGAAAGGCGGGCAGCTGGCCCCAGTCAGGGCAGTGTGGCTGTGTTGTGCGCCCCGCAGGACGTGGACGCCGCCTACATGAACAAGGTGGAGCTCCAGGCCAAGGTGGACGCCATGACGGACGAACTCAAGTACTTGAAGCGTCTCTATGAAGGGGTGAGCACTTTGCCGACCCGGCTGAGCGCCCGGCTCCTCTCGCAGGCGGCTTCCTGGTCTGGGCCTGGGCGCAGGTGTGCAGCAGGGGCTGCTGGACAGAAGCTTCTCAGCTCAGGGCAGCCCCCAGGAGCCGTGAACACGGCGCACAGGGGACTGTGGCGGTGGGAGGTCCACACGGGGAGGAAGGGGCAGGGATGGTCCCGGGAGAAAGAAAAGGGAGGATGCTCTCAGTGGGCGCTGGGGTGGGGGAAGGGCAGTGAGGACCAGAAGCCTGGAGAATGGAGAGGTCCTGCCCCCGCCCCCCCCACTGCGAGTTCCCAGGCAGGAGCTCAGACTTGACCCTCTGGGGGAGGTGGCACTGCTGGTGTTCCAGGAAGGGAACGTGGCAGGGGTCAGAGCAGAGGGGCACGCACATCGGGAAAGGGGCTCCACCATCTGGGCTGTGAGCCCAAGGCACTCGTTCTCCTGCCCGGCAGCCACTGGTGCTGAGAAAGGCCGGAGCAGGGGAGCGAGGACTCTGACCCAGGAGGACCAGGGGAAGCAGGCCCCTCGTGAGAGCTCCCTGACCAGCTCTCCTGCCCCTGCTGTCCCCAGGAGATCGCTCAGATGCAGTCCCACATCAGCGACACGTCCGTGGTGCTGTCCATGGACAACAACCGGGACCTGGACCTGGACAGCATCATCGATGACATTCGTGTCCAGTACGAGGACATCGCCCAGAGGAGCAAAGCTGAGGCCGAGGCATTGTACCAGACCAAGGTGGGTGCTGGGTGCAGGCATGGCAAGGCCCATGAGCATACCAGTGCCTTCTCTTCAAGCAGCACATGGTGCACACACAGGTGCACAACATGTACACGCGTACTTGCACATGTGTGCATGTATCTACAGGTACATGCACATACGTGTATATGCACACATGCATGTGTTCGTGTGTGCAAGTGCGTATGAGGGTCCACTTGTGCGTGTGTGTGCATGTGTGTGCTTGTGTGTGTGTGTGTGTGCCACAGGTATATTTGGGCTTTGTGGGGACCCTCTGTCTTGGAGCTGGGCCTTGTCTTGATGCCCCAAGCGTCCGGGAGGTGCAGCTCCAGCCTTGGCGGGCTCTGGCTCAGCCCTTCTCCTGGTGACTGCCGAAACCACACCGAGCGCAGCCCTAATATGTCTTTCCACGGTTTTCTGAGCATAGCCCACGGAGCTCAGCTTTTTGTCTTGCTTCCAACTTGGGCAAAATGAGGACAGGACGTGTAAGGGCCATGGGAGCTCTTGGAGACTGTGCAAACCTTGACTTCTGTCAAGGGTCTGGTGAGCGGCATCGAGGATGGTTGCTTGTCCCCCGCCTTTCCTTCCGCTCCCCGCCACTGGTGCCTGCACTGCCTGAGAGTGAAGCAGCTGGTGGCGGCCTGTGGTCCCCTTCCTCCCGCGGGACACTCCTAAGCAGGTGACTTCTCCCACCAACGGGTACCCGCTTCTCTTGTCGCCCACGCTCAGATCCAGGAGCTGCAGGCCACAGCGGGCCAGCACGGCGATGACCTGAAGCTCACCAAGGCCGAGATCTCGGAGCTCAGCCGGCTGATTCAGAGGATCCGCTCGGAGATAGGGAACGTGAAGAAGCAGGTGTGCCTTGGGCTATGCATCAGCGGGCGGGGCTGATCGCAGTCAGGATGAGACAGCACTCGGGGCAGGGGCAAGAGCAGCCCCCCGGCTCAGGTGTCTCCTGCTCGCAGGAGTGAGGAGCAGGTGCATGTGTGGCAGGTGGAGCGTTCCACACTTGGCTCATGAGTGGAACACACGGCAGGCCCACAGGCCCCAGGAAATCATATGTTCTCCCCAGAAGCTCGTGTTCGCAGGCTGCAAGAGCCACCGGCAATGCCAAAGTCACTCTGAAGTCCACGGCCCTGTAGCATGATTCTCTGTGGGATATGGGGCAGGAGGCGGGGTGAGGGCAGACGCCAAGTGCTGCAGGCTCCATTTGCCACCCCCACTGCACCCCTAAGACAATCTACACACTGCAGAGCCAAGTCTAAGTGGACAGACCTTTCTCAGGGTTAGCGTCCGAATCTTCCAACTGATGCTCCAAGCAGCCGCGAATGGGAAGGGGGCACACCTTTGCTGTGCCCGTCCCTGCCTCTCCCATGAGCTTGGCTGAAGCATGCCTGGAGCCAGGGAAAAGATAGACCTGAAGTTGGAGCAGCTACAAGCGTCTCAAAGCATTGGCTATCAGCCAGGATCAGAGGAGGGAGCTTGTCTGAGCAGGGCTCCGATGCCAGGTGCTGAACCCCTGTCCGTGCCCCTCAGTGCGGCAACCTGGAGACATCCATGGCGGATGCCGAGCAGCGAGGCGACTGCGCCCTCAAGGACGCCCGGGCCAAGCTGGACGAGCTGGAGGGAGCCCTGCAGCAGGCCAAGGAGGAGCTGGCCCGGATGCTGCGTGAGCACCAGGAGCTGATGAGCGTGAAGCTGGCGCTGGACATGGAGATCGCCACCTACCGCAAGCTGCTGGAGGGCGAGGAGAGCAGGTGCGGGGGGCGGGGGCCTGGTGCGGGGCGGCCAGCCCTGTGGTTGTGTTCATGTCCTCCTGAAACAGAGCATCTCAGCAACCGAGTTTCCCTCGTGCTGAGCAAGGAAGGCCAAAAGTTAGCCAGCCAGAAGGAGCAAGATGTAAGAGGGAGAGAGAGTGGTCAGGGCACGGTGAATTCTTACAGGTGTGGCCTCCAAGAGTCAGCCAGTTCATGGTTACCCTCGTAAAGCCTGGGGGCTCCGTGAAGATGCCACGCCTTCTCTCCTTTACTGTAACTAGAGGGAAGCAGAGGCCCAATTCTCCCACGCAGCTGGAGATCTGAACGCCTCCTTGCTGGGAGCGGGCTCCCCGTAGCAAGACTTTCATCCGGGGTCTCCATGGGTTGAGCATCCTGCTGGGGATACGTCAGGGAGAGAGGAGGCTGGGAGCAGGTGCAGTTCAGAGAGGAGGGACCCCTTCCTGGAGGGGGGTCCCCAGGTGGAGCAGGGTGGGGGATGCTCAGCGGGAGTAACCTGTCTTTCTCTTCCTTCTCAGGATGTCCGGTGAATATCCCAATTCCGTGAGCATCTGTAAGTACCTGCAGCTCCCGTTTCTGCCCTTGCCAGAATCCAAGCCCCTCACAGTCGGGGGGCAGGGTGGGGTGGGGGCTTAGGGAAGACTGCAGGACACAGAGTCGGGGCTCTAGACACCAGGAGGAGGGAGCAGGAGGGAGCAGCGCGGGCAGGAAAGCAGAGCCTGTGAAAGGCCAAATGACACCCACCAAAGGTGTGAAGCTGCTTCTGGAAGCCACTTCCTTTTTCTATCACGACCAGACCCCAACAAGGTCAGGTGGGGGGGACAGTAAGAGAGATTGAGGGGGCACTGGGAGGCTGGGTGATGCAAAAGTGTAGGTGAGATAACCCCACCGGGGCCCAAACACTGCCCAGGGTCCAGGGGTGCTGCTGTGTTCCTGGGTGGTAGGGCCGCCCCAGCACCCCCTTTTCTGCAGGCAGCGGCAGGCCACTGTGAAACGACTCTGCCCAGGGGCAAGTTCACAGGAAAGAGCCCTCCTCCTGCAGGCTTAAAGTGTGGTACTGATGGGTGGGTAGGGACTAATGGGGGTGGGCGTGGCCAGCCCACGGGCCATATCAGGCCCTCTAAATCAGTCCCTGCCCCGTCAAGCAAGTGTGGGCTGGACTTGTTCAAAAACTCTATAGCAGGCTAGTGTTTAACTTGGTAATTTTGTGTGGCCCAAGAGTGACACTGCAGATGGCCCTTGGGGCTGGGGGGAGGGGGGAGAAAGCAGGTTCCCCACCCCCACCCCGGGGCCGCAGAGGAGGGAAAGGAAATCACAGGTGACTAGGACTGATAAAACACTCTCTGTGAACTCAAACCACACCACAGGGCGACTCTGGCTCAACATGAAACCAAGGAAGGAGCCAGCCCTGGGGTGCGCGGGGGTGGGAGGGTGGGGTGGGGGCTCTGACCCAGGCCCGCGCCTGCTTTTCCCCCTCTTTGCAGCCGTCGTCAGCAGCACCAGCGCGGGAGCAGGTGCAGGCTTTGGTGTGGGCTTCGGCACCTCCAGCACATACAGCTACAAGCCTGTGGCAACCGACATTAAGACCAAGGGGAGCTGTGGCAGTGAGCTCAAGGACTCCCTCGCCAAAACCTCTGGTGGCCCCGGTGTGACCAAAAAGGCCCCCAGATGATGGACAGGCGGACCCTTGGCTCGGAGCATGCGGGAGGCTACAGGGCCCGTCCACCTCTTCCCTGTCTCCCTCCCACCCCTCCCCAAGGCAGGAGGTGCTTTCTCTAGTGTCCCTACCCCGACTCCGTCTCCTCCCTCTGTCCTGCTCACAGGCGGGTGTGCTGATGGGGGCAGCCCAGGCGCCGGCCTCCTCGGTGGCCTCCCCCTTTGTCACTGTTCATGGGTGCCTCCCACGCACAAAGACCCAGGGTGCTTCTGAGCTGTAGGCCTGTCTCCTCGGACCTTCACTGCCAAGGAGATCTCCCCATCCTATGGTTGGTGTTGGGTCCAGTTCTCTGCTTCTCCAGCAATAAACCATCCAAGCCACTTGTCTCTGTCCGTTTTGTTTCCATAACAGAAAATCTGAACTGGGTCATTCAAATTAAGACAAGAGGGACCAGGCGCCGTGGTGCAGTGGGTTCAACCACTTCTTGCAGTGCTGGCATCCCATATGGGTGCTGGTTCGAGTCCCAGCTGCTCCACTTCTGATCCAGCTCCCTGACAATGCACCTGGGAAAGCAGCAGAAGATGGCCCAAGTACTTGGGCCCCTGCACCCACAAGGGAGACTCAGATGGAGTTCCTAGCTCCTGGTTTGGCCTGGCCAGACCCTCACCGTCATAGCCATTTGAGGAATGAACCAGTGGATGGATGGAAGATCTCTTTCTCTCTGTCACTCTGCTTTTCTTTTTAAAGATTTATTTATTTATTTGAAAGCCAGAGTTTCACAGAGAGAGAAGCAGAGGCATAGAGAGAAAGAGAGAAAGAGAGAGAGGTGGCTACAATGGCCGGAGCTGCGCCAATCCTAAGCCAGGAGCCAGGAGTTTCTTTCAGGTCTCCCACGCGGGTGCAGGGGCCCAAGGACTTGGGCCATCTTCTACTGCTTTCCCAGGCCACAGCAGAGAGCTGGATCGGAAGTGGAGCAGCCAGGACTCGAACTGGCGCCCATATGGGATGCCAGGACTGCAGACTGGGGCTTTATCCCACTATGCCACAGCGCCTGCCCCCGAGAGGTGGGCATCTAGACCCTGCTAGAGAGCCACACCTGGACAGCTGGCCCAGCTCAGTCTCCGTCACCCACTGCCTGGCTGGCCTTGGCCACCCCTTCTTGCCCGCATCTCCTCCCTCCCGCCTGTCCCCAGCCACAGGCGCCCTGCTGTCATCTTTGGCTGAGTTCTCTTCACCTAGAGCAGGACACCTGTGTGTATACCCTCTGTGCCTACCGTGTGGGGCACATAGTGGGGCCAGGCTTTGCTAAGACACTGGGGATCCCAGAACATGGGAGACAGGCACAGCCATGAGCAGAGCAAGGTGGAATGTGATGCCAAGGGGTGCCGACTGCTCTGGCGAGAAATCCAGTGCGGTAAGAAGCAGAGGGAGCCAGCGCGCTCTTGTAGCCATGTGCACGTGCATGTGTGCTTGTGCTGGGAGCTTTGTTGCCCAGGCAGTGAGCACAGGCAATCTGAGCCAAGTGCCTCGGGCCGGGACTGTTGCTGAAGCATGAGCCTCGCTGGGGGGTGGCGTTTAGGCACCTGACCCCGCTGTTCTGGGGGATTTCTGGATCTTTCCACTCCAGCCCTCCCCAGGCAGGCCCAGGCTTGCACACCTAGGGCTCCCTCAACTGTGAGGGCCCATTCCAGAGAGAGAGAGAGAGAGAGCGAGCGCTGTCTCCCTTCACTCGTTCCCTCCCCCTGAATGTCCACAGGTCCAAGGCTGGGCCAAGGCCAAAGCTAGAAGCCAAGAACTCAATGTATGTCTCCCATGTGGGCAGCAGGGAGCCACTGCTTGAGCCATCACCTGCTGCCTCCCAGGGTGTGCATTAGCAGGAAGCTGGAATCGGGACTCGAACCCAGGCACTCTGATACAAGATGCAGGTGTCCCAAGCAGTGTCTCATCCACGAGGCCAAATGCCTGGTCCTCCTGTCCCCCCTCACTGCAATCCTGCTCCAGCCTCTGTGGTCAGGGCCTTTGTTCATGTGGTGCTTGGTCCCTGCAGGTGGAATGCATCAAGCCAGCTAGCGTGCAATGATAAAGAACGTGATAGCGCCCGGCCCAACAACTCCCCCATACCCTCCCATCCTCTGGGTGAGCAAACTGAGGCCTGGTGACTGAGTGACCTGCCGAGTTCACCGGAGGAGCAGCAGGGGCTGGACTGGCAGCCTGCACCCCCCCCCCCAGCGCCGTCCCCAAGCTCGTGTTCCGGCTGGTGTGACGCCAGCTGCTCACCCATCTGTTCCCTGCTGCACCCCTCCCATCCCCCTGTCCCAACACCCTCATGCGGTGCTTGACACTGCCAGAGAACGTTCTTTGATCTGGCCTGCCTTCAGCGGGGATAAAGCACTCCCCATGCACCTGCTTGTTGAAAACTTGACACGCAAATGACAGAGCGCACTTACGTGTGTGAATCTATGCTTTGTGTGTGTGTTTGCATGCAGACAACTTAGTGCTTCTGTACCCAACCTGTTTGCTCTGCACAGGTGCCAGACTGGGTCCCTGGCCAGCAGGCGAAGCCACAACGGGCAGGCAGAGGGATGGAGTTTTCTAGACCTGGCTTCAGATCCGGTCCTGTTGTCCGATGGCCAGCCGTGTCCTAGGGCAAAGGGGAGTAATGCAAGCCAAGCTACCTGTCCAAGACGTCACCGTGGAGGAGACTGCGATTACAGAGTGCCGCAGGGAGGCCTGGGGGCACGGTGCTCGCTGCGATGGTGATGGCAGCCGCGCCACTGGGAGCAGGGGATCCCTTCTGAGAAGCGCAGCGCGGGCTGACTGCCTGTGTGCACGCACTTACGCACATGCGGGTGGCGCTCCAGAGACGCCGCCTCTGTCACACAGAAGCAGTGCACGCTGAGCAAGCGCTACAAGTGTTGTGTATGGGGGCCGGTGCTGTGGTGCAGCAGGTAAAGCCGCCGCCTGCAGTGCCAGCATCTCATATGGGTGCTGGTTTGAGTCCCGGCTGCTCCACTTCCGATCTGGCTCCCTGGGAAAGCAGCAGAAGATGGCTCAAGTCTTTGGGGTTTGGGGGCGACCGGAGAGTTTCCTGGCTGTGCACTGGGTCACGCCTGAGAGGGTGTGGATGAGCAGCATGGCTGTGCCTGGAGCCTTGGCCTAAGAGACTTCAGTGAGAGGGAGCAGGGCACGGGGTCTGCTCACTGAACCCGGCTCCCTTCCCAGCAGGGAGGAGCCTGGGCCTGGGCGCCTCTATTTTGTGCTCACACTGCCCTCTGCCGTCAGTCCCGGGTACTGCACCTGCCTCTCCACAGCCAGGCAGGCGCCTGCGGGATGTTCCTTGGCTCCCAGCCTCCAAGTTGCCAGTGCCCTGGCTCCTGCCTCCCCTGTGCTACCCTCTGACCTCTCCTCTCACAGGAGGGAGGAGGGGCATGGACCACCCCTGCAAACCACCCTCGTCACCCTGTCCCTGTGAGATGTCCACTCCCATCCCTGCATGACACAGCCCTCAACCCCCACTTACATCTGGTTCCTCCAGCCCCAGGAGGCTCCGGAGCCAATCCCTGTCAGTCCAGGCTCAGAAGTTCCAGGTCCTTCCGACTGGAACTCCAGGTGCAACACCAAATTGTAGAGGAGAGGCCCGGCCAGCTCAGGCTCTGAGCCCTCGTGTGCAGCCCCAGGGTTGGAGAGGATGCAGTAGCCACGGCAGACGGCATCCTTGTGCCGGTTTTCGCCTCTCACAGCTGTAACTTGGGATCTGGTCTCCCTGATCCTTTGCTTTCTCATCTGTGACGTGGGAACAGTTACGTCCCAGGGTTGGTGTGAGGAGAATGATTCTAAATGCGCAGCCTGGGACCCCGGGCAGGACAAGCCCTAGACGAATGCAGAGCGGGCCCACGGTCACTCCTCGTTCCATCTCATTCCCTTCTCTGGCTCTCGGAACCCACATTCTTTCCCAGAAACCTCTCTGCTATGGCTGTGGGCTCCTCTGAGCCCTCCGTGGCTCCTTATTGTGATGCGGGTCCTCCACTCTGGCTGCCAACTTCCCCGTCTCCTTTCCCATAGCCAGGAGCCACTGTGCCTCTTGCTCCCTGGAGGGGGGCATTGTCCCCCGCTCTCTGGCTGCAGCCTCCAGGTTCACTCCACAACCCGCCTCCTGCCACCGCTGGAAGCCCAGCCACACTCCCCAGGGGCCCCCACGGACACTCATGACTCTGGAGGGAGATGGGGACTGGGTCTCTGGCACCGTGTCCTTTGCCTCCTTCTTTTCAGGGCTGGGCTGTAGGGGGCGGGGAGCTAGCTAGCGCCAGGCACCGCCAAAGCCCACCTACCCAAGCCTCTGTTTCCAGGGCAGGTTTGCATCCTGGAGCTTCCACAGGGAGAGGGGTCCCTGGATGTGGCTGGAGTCCCTCCCTCCCAGCCAGGGCCTCTTTCTTGGCCGCCAGCTTCGGGGGTCCGCCTTGTACTCTTTCTGCATACCTTGTCCCGTCACCCCCAGTCTCTCCTGTCCATCAACCCCGTCTTCCCCAAGCCCTTTCTCCTAAAGCACCCTCTTCTTATTTCTCCATGCCCCACTGTGGTCTCTCGTTCCTCTCGATCCTCACATCACCTCTGGTTGCCAAGGACCCCTTGCCAGCTCCCTTCCTGAGTCTGTGCCCAGAGCCCAGCAGGCTTGGTTATAACGTGGGCACGGGGAGAGGGGTGCCATTGCCCCCCATCCCCACCCAAGGCAGGTGTCTCCTCCCCACCCCCATCCCTCCCCAGGCCTGGGCCATGTCCTAGGCTCGGGAGGGGCTGGGCTTCTTCCCGTTTGGACAGGGCTGGTGGGAGCCGGAGAGTGCGTCATTAGCAATGGCTAATTTTGCAGATGCACGGAGGGAGGGGTGGATCAAGCAGTCAAGGTCAAAAGAAGGATGCATTTTCGCCAGCTTGGTTTTCCAAAAAGAACCAGGGATTTCGACCAGGAGGAGGGGCTGGGGAGTGAGAAGACGCCTGCCTCGCCTCACACTTCTTCCAAAGGAGGAGGGACCGGCAAGGCTACCCGGCTGGGGGAAGGTAGTCTGCCCAGAGCAAGACAGCGCTTGCCTGGGACATAGCTGTGTGCACCTGGGCGAGGACCGAGGCAGGGGGTGGAGCTTTCCTCCTAAACAGGAGGGGAGAAGCAGAAGCAACAGGAGCTGAGCAGGGAGAGAGAGAGAGAGAGAGAGAGAGAGAAATGGAGGAGCTTGGTGGGGCCCAAGCCAGGTGTGCCATAGGAGCAGCAGCCGGCAGACCCTGAGCCAGGCAGGGGAGCTGGGCAGGGCAGAGCCTGGGGTTGCTGGCGAGGCCTCTGCTCTGTCTTTCACAAGTGTCATCTGCACCAGTGTGGCCCCTAGCAGTGGACATTTTGGGAAAGTCCCTCAGCACGGTGTCTGGTTCTCAGTGTGGATGGAATTCAGTGCAAATCCGTGCCATCTGGCCACCTATTTTCTCTCTCTCTCTCTCTCTCTCTCTCTCTCTCTCTCTCTTCTTTCCTTCCTTCCTTCCTTCCTTCCTTCCTTCCTTCCTTCCTTCCTTCCTTCCTTCCTTCCTTCCCTTTCTCATTGTTTACTTTAAAAGTCAGAGTTATACAGAGAGAGAGAGAGATCTTCCATCCGCTGGTTCACTCCCGAAATGGCTGCAATGGTCAGGGATGGGCCAGGACGAAGCCAGGAGCCAGGAGCTTCTTTGAGGTCTCCCATGTGGGTGGCAGAGGCCCAAGCACTTGGGCCATCTTCTACTGTTCTCTCAGGTGCATTACAGGGAGCTGGATCGGAAGTGGAGCAGCTGGGACTTGAACCAGCACCCATACAGGATGCCAGCATAATGGGCGGTGGCTTTGCTTCCTACGCCACAGTGCTGGCCCCTGCCTGTTTCCGTAATAACCTGAGGGTTACACGAGCATGTGTGAGCAGAAGGGGCACTCATGGGGGTAGAGGCAGACCAGGGAACTGCCTGGGGTCTCAGGGGCTTGGAGAGATGTGCCCCCCACCTTGAGCCCTAAGATCTCCTGGGGAATTCAGCACCCGCTCCTCTGCCAGATGGTGGGTGAGGTTTGGGTGACCAGCTGCCCCGAAACTCCCGTGTCCTGGATAACCCTGCCCTCCCACCCAGCCAGCACAAGCCGTCGGTCACTCCTCCAAGGGGCGCTGAGCTCCTCCTGACAGCCCCGCCCGGGGTGCTAGCCCTTGTCTTCTGTGCCCAGAGCTGCCTGGCTGCTTCTTAGGACAAAGTACAGCTTTTCCTCCCTGGCTCCACAGCTCCACCTGCTGGCAGTGATGGTTATGCCACCCCACCCCCACCACACTGCTGTCCTATCTGGTTGGCCTAGACACTCCAGGTGCCAGGGGGTGTCCCGTCAGGAGGGTGAAGGGTTTCCCAAGGGGAGCAGACTGTGGAGCAGGATGGAGAGGCAGGCTCCTTCACACCCTGGGGGGTGTCGGGCTTCTGCCACAGAGCCACTGTGCTTTGTCCCAAGTCTTGTCCTTCAGGAATGAGCTTGAGAATCCTTCAATCTCCCTTCTTTCTCTCTGCTAATGACCTTCCTCTATGAATCTGGATGTCTTCTATGTGCAGGGACAGCCGGGAGGCCACAGGGCGAGAGGACAGGGGCCTGCATCACTCGCCCCAGACTCAGCAGAGGCCACACTGCTTGTGTCTGTGGGGTTCCTCCTGGCCGTGCTTTCTCTCTGCAGAAGGGGACTCTCAGCCCACCCCCTACCCCCAGGGATATTCCAGCCCAGGGTGAGGGGAGCTCAGCTCCTCGGGATCCTGCGGGCACCAGTGTCACCCCCCGACTTCCCCTGTGCAGCAGAGCCCACTCTGACCTAGAACCCAGGCTCTACAAGCCTGCCCCCCGGGATCCCCGTGTGACTCTGCACTGCTTACGGCAGGGAGGGGATACTCCTGCCTGCACCCCCATCTTTCCTTGGGGACCCTGTGCCATCTTGCAACCCACCTGGCTTCTCACTGTCTCAGGTGCACACGCACCTGCCAGTCTGGCCGAGCCTGCAGTCCCCAACGTCCACTGCAGGCCCAGAGTGTGCTTTGGTCTGGTGAGGGAGAGAAAGAGAGAGAAAGGACTTCCTTCCATTGGTTCACCCCCCAAATGGCTGCTATGGCCAGAGCTACACCAATCCGAAGCCAGGAGCCAGGTGCTTCCTGCTGGTCTCCCATGCGGGTGCAGGGCCCAAGCACCTGGGCCATCCTCCACTGCCCTCCCAGGCCACAGCAGAGAGCTGGGTTGGAAGAGGGGCAACCAGGACAGAACCCGGCATCCATATGGGATGCTGGTGCTGCAGGCGGAGGATTAACCAAGTGAGCCACGGTGTAGGCCCCTTTAGTCTGTTTTTTTATCCATGCCTAGTGAAGACTTAGGGTTAATAAAAAGCAGGTTTTCTGGTGTTTTTTTTTTAAATTCTGTTTTATTTACTTATTTATTTTTAAGCTTTAATATTTTTATTTGGTAGGTGCACACACCCACACATGCACACAGAGCTCCAATCCACTGGTTTCTTCTTCTTTGAATGTTTACAATGGCTGGGGTTGGATCAGGGCCAAGGCCAGAAGCCGGGAACACACTTCAGGTCTCCCAAGTAGGTGGCAGGAACCCAATTACTTAAGCTGCCCAGGGTCTGCTTTAGCAGGAACCTGGAGCCAGGTTCTCCAATGTGGGGGTGTGGGCATGCTAACCACGAGGCCACCTGCCTGTGCCTAGTCTGTTTGGTTTTATTTTGAACCAGAGTTTCACCAACAGCTTGCTGAATGCACGTTATCCAACACCGGCGTGTAGAGCTAAAGCCACAGCAGGGACAGCAGTGGAACAGCTTTGCTGTGGCTGTATCTTGTCTCCTCCAGTCCTGTTGACTTCTAGAGAGGAAAGAGGGCGCCCTCGACATCCCCGTCCGTGTCCTGCACGCAGCTGATGCAGCTCTACGCCCGGTAGCTGCTTCTGGAATGAGTCAGTCTGTTCAGGCCGGGGGGCAGGGGTGTTCCTTAGTCCAAGTGTTCAGGGACCAGGGTGTGGAGTGTGGTGACTAATTAAAGGGTGGCCAGCACAGCGAAGGCTGGAGCTGTCAGAGAGCCTTCTGCGTAGGCTAAAGACGGCTACCCTGCAATTAGATTTCCTAGGGATCAAGAGGAGGGGTGTGTGTGTGGCAATGATCCTAACACTGTTTTTGGGAAACTCCCTCTGCCTCTACTTCTTCCTCCTGTCAGTGTCTCCACCACCACCCTAAACACCACCATCACCATCATCACCACCACCAGTCACCCTCACCCTCACCATCACTACCACCATCATTACCTGTGCTTTGTGTGTGTGTTTGCATGCAGACAACTTAGTGCTTCTGTACCCAACCTGTTTGCTCTGCACAGGTGCCAGACTGGGTCCCTGGCCAGCAGGCGAAGCCACAACGGGCAGGCAGAGGGATGGAGTTTTCTAGACCTGGCTTCAGATCCGGTCCTGTTGTCCGATGGCCAGTCGTGTCCTTGGGCACCTGTCCAAGACGTCACCGTGGAGGAGACTGCGATTACAGAGTGCCGCAGGGAGGCCTGGGGGCACGGTGCTCGCTGCGATGGTGATGGCAGCCGCGCCACTGGGAGCAGGGGATCCCTTCTGAGAAGCGCAGCGCGGGCTGACTGCCTGTGTGCACGCACTTACGCACATGCGGGTGGCGCTCCAGAGATGCCGCCTCAGTCACACAGAAGCAGTGCACGCTGAGCAAGCGCTACAAGTGTTGTGTATGGGGGCCGGTGCTGTGGCGTAGCGGGTAAAGCCGCCGCTTGCAATGCCAGCATCCCATATGTGCATCACCATCACCACCACCACCACCATCCTCACTGGCATCACCATCACCACCACCACCACCATCCTCACCGGCATCACCATCACCACCACCCTCACCCCACCATCACCACCACCACCATCACCCTCACCATCACCCTCACCACCACCCTCACCCCACTATCACCACCACCACCATCACCACCATCACCCTCACCCTCACCATCACCATCACCACCACCCTCACCCCACCATCACCACCACCACCACCACCATCACCCTCACCATCACCCTCACCACCACCCTCACCCCATCACCACCACCACCACCACCACCATCACCACCACCACCATCACCCTCACCATCACCCTCACCATCACCATCACCCTCACCCCATCACCACCACCATCACCACCACCACCATCACCCTCATCACCACCCTCACCCCACCATCACCACCACCACCATCACCCTCATCACCACCCTCACCCCACCATCACCACCACTATCACCCTCACCATCACCCTTATCACCACCCTCACCCCACCACCATCACCACCACCATCACCCTCACCACCACCCTCACCCCACCATTACCACCATCACCACCACCATCACCCTCACCACCACCCTCACCCCACCATCACCACCACCACCACCACCACCACCACCATCACCTGTGACCCCCTGCTCACAGTGTGCTTCTGTTATTCCAGCACTGTGGCTCCCACTTCTCGGTCTGCAGGCTCTTCAGGGGCCAGAGTCTCAGACGCCCCCCTCCCGCCCTGTCCCCCAGGTATTGGCAAACTCACAGCCACACCGCCAGGGAGGGTGTGGCCAGCGTGGGCTGCTGGGAGAGCACCCCGGTTAACCTCCTTCCCGCAGCTGCCTTTGCAATCTGGCTGAGCAAGGCACAAGCCACAAGCCACGGCTTCAATTAGCTCCCGCCATGCCCTCCAGCCAAGCTCTGCCAGGAAAGCAGGGAGACAGGGTCCACCAGGAATGCAGCGCAACAGGAAACCACTCTGAAGGAGAAAGTCCCCAGAGGCGTGTCCCAGACCGAGTACCGGCCCCCTGCCCAGCCCATCATCCCATCCCCACTGTGAAAGCAGCCATCACCACCCCCTGCCTGATCCAAACAGGTCAAGGGGTCTCCTCCCTGCCATTCACCTACAGGCAGTGGTCCACCCTGCTTTTGCGGGAGCTGCCAGACACCTGGTTTTGCAACAATGTTTTAACATCCCCCGCCCCTAGGACCTCCCGAGCTGTAAGTGGCTGATGCTTCCTGCTCCCAGTTGTTCAGGAAATTGGCAGAGCAGAGTGACCCGGAGGGGTGCTGGGCGCTCACTTACTGGGCTGTGCAGCGATTCCTTGGGGAGCGTGCCCAGCTATCCGCAGCGGGGGATGAGCCGGCGTCCTCCCTGCCCCTGTCCCACCTCCTCGGGGCAGGATGGAACTCCTCACCCAAGAGAAGAAATTGTACCCGAGGAAAAGCGCTGGCGGCCCAAACAGCACCCGGTGAAAATGTCCCAGGTCCCCCGCAAGCCAGTCTTGGCCCTACTCAGAAGGCTGCGGGCTGACTTCCCCCACGATAGTGCCTTGCAGGTGCCCCTGTAGACTGCTCCTCTCCACCGGCTCCATCTGTCCTGCCCACCTTCCAGAGCTACATCAGCAGCCTGCAGAGGCAGCTGGAGACGCTGTCGGGGGCCCAGGTGAGGCTGGACTTGGAGCTGAGGAGCATGCGCGACCTGGTGGAGGACTACAAAAAGGGATGAGCGGCTTCCACAGGCGGGGCGGGGGGGGGGGGGTCTTCCCGAGAGGCGTCGGGCAGCAGTGAGCACCGGGGTCAGAAGCTCAGTTCCACCTGTCTGGTGGCAGGGAGGGGCAGCCGTGGTGCTGAGAGTCCCCGCCTGCTCAGGAGGGCCACAGCCTGTGTGGGCACCAGGCTGGGATGCAGCGTGCGGGGCGTCTCACTCCCACCATTGGCTGCTGAGGGCCCACCCCAGAAGTCCTGTTGGGAAAAGGAGGGGGCGGTGGCAGCGGCGGCCACTGGGCCTTGGGGACTGGTGGTGGAGAGCGAGTTTGCAATGCTCAAGAGGGTAAGGGTGACATGAGCCCATGTCTCTGGCTCCTCACCCCCACCCCAGACACCTGCTCCAGGGCCTCAGCCCAGGCCGACCCAGGGAAGGGGTGCGGGAGCCACAGTGGAGTTCTGGGCCTGGCCTTCTCGCGGGGGTGGGGGGGGGAGGAAGGGGGCAGGCCACTGAGGACTGGGGTGGAGGAGGGGTGGCATTCACAGTCGGCTCTGGGGGACTCTCTCGGCAGGGAGTGGACGCAGCCTACAGGGTCAAGGTGGAGCTCGAGGTCAAAGTGTAGTCTCTGGACAAAGACATCAAGTTGAAGTGTCTCCATGATGCAGTGAGGCCCCTGCTGCCACTCACCCCCCACCCCACCTGTTTCCGGCTACCAGGGAAGAGGTGAGGCTGTGCACACGGGGACATTGGTCTGGGCCATGAGGGTGGCCCTGCCCATGGGCAGGGGACAAAATGGCCCCATGAGGTCACACTGAAACACAGCTTCTTGGCCACAATGGCTGGAGCTGGGCCAGGCAGAAGCCAGGAGCCATGAACTCCATGTAGGTCCAAGCACTTTTGCCATCTGCTGGAAGCGGAGCAGCCAGGATGCAAACTCACGCTCTGCAGTGGGGGTGCGGCACGGCAGAGAGCAGGCCAACGCACGGGGCACCACGCCAGCCCCCGAAAGCACCACTTCTTGGAGTCTATGAAGCTGTAGCGGGAGGAGGCCTCCTACTGCGGCTCTGTGGACACATCTCCCACCCTCTTCTGACCCACTCTCCGCCAGCAGGTGCATCTCACCCTCTCTGTCCCCTCCTGGTCCCCACCCCCTGTCCACGGCCATGCTGTCCCCACTTCTCACAGTCCCGGCCACAGGGAAGGGGACGGTGTCTCCTGGAGAGATTCTAGACAAGTCCATGTCCCCAACCCTTGGTCTACAGGACAGTACCCTGAGGTGCCCTCAGCCAACAGTCCTACCGATCTGGCTCGTATCCCGGGTGCTGCAGGACCCTGGCCTGCCCTGCTCTCTGCTGCACCCCCAGCACTGTCCTGAGAAGATGGCTCTGGGCTGGGGAAGTGCTTAGTTGGTGTGAACCACATCACTGCTTTCCCAGCCCAGGGCAGGCTGCAGACCGGAAGCTGGGCCAGCAGACAGGTTCCACCACCAGGAGGGGGTGCACTGCTGGGTGAGCACCACCACCCAAGGGTGCTCCCTCTCCTGCGCCAATCAGAGGAGGGAGCATCTGCCGAGGGCCTTTCTTGACTACCTTGCTGGCTCTGCGGAACAGATCCAAGAGCTGCAGCTGGTGGCCGGTCGGCAGGGCGCGAGAGGTCGGAGGTGAGAGAGCCCCTGCGTCAAGAAGCAGGTGTGCTGCCAGGGGGCGGAGCTGTGTGTCTGCCCCGCCCATGCCCCGCCCAGCAGGAGGAGCCCGCCAGCCATCCCTGGGTCCTTCTGTCCCGCCCTGCTTGGCGTCCCTGCCCTCAGCGCTGGCAGTGTCCTGGAGCCCAGGTCTCTAACTGTGCTGGTGGGAGTGCAGCCCAGGCTCCTCAGAAGGAAGGAGCCTTCCTCCTCCCAAGGAAGCCAGGATGAGAGCCCAGTTTCTTCTTTCTTGGCTTTTCCTGTGTCCACGTGTCAGGGGCACAGGGCGAGTATCAGAGCCCCTGGCCAGGTTGGGTTCCTGCCCAGAGTGGGGCCTGGCCCTGGAGTCGGAGGGAGGGGTGTGACAGCAGATGGAAGCTCCAGCCTGCCCCACCCAGGGCCACGGAGCCACTGCCACCTCCCCCGGGGCCCTGTCTTACCTGAAAACTGTGAATCTTAGTATTATGTTTTTTTTTTTAAGATTTATTTATTTATTCAAAAGTCAGAGTTACACAGAGAGAGGAGAGGCAGAGAGAGAGAGGTCTTCCATCCGCTGGTTCACTTCCCAATTGGCCGCAACGGCCAGAGCTGCGCCGATCTGAAGCCAGGAGCCAGGAGCTTCTTCTGGGTCTCCCATGTGGACGCAAGGACTTGGGCCATCTTCCACTGCTTTCCCAGGCCACAGCAGAGAGCTGGGTTGGATGTGGAGCAGCCGGGACTTGAACTGGCGCCCATATGGGATGCCGGCGCTTCAGGCCAGGGCGTTAGCCCGCTGCACCACAGCGCTGGCTCCCAGTATTATGTTTTTAAGATGGAGCTATCTGTCATCCACAGACCCTCTCTATAGAGTTCCAGAAGAGTCTAGAAACACTGACGCTTGGTGCTGACAGCTAGGAAGATCCCTGCTGGTGTGAGGTCCTGGGGCAGGAAGCTGACCGCAGGGGGGCCCTCAGAGCCGTCCTGGCTGCAGTCTCAGACGTGATTCTCCTGCACCTGGTGTACTTGAACCTGTAGCCAACCCCAGGCACTCAGCAGCTTCGCACACATCAACGTTTCTTCCTGCACCCTCAACCGCACCTGCTCTCCTGGCGTACCGGCAGCCCCTTTAGGTAGCCGTGTGCACTGGAAATGGTGGAGCCCCAGCTTCTGCTGTGGGCTTGGCAGCTCTCACTTCTGCTCCCTTGGACCTCGTCTGTAAAATGGAGGAGCTGAGCCTCTTGACCCGTGCAACCTAAGAATTATTTCATGTCCTGAAGATCTCCCTGTTCTCTGGCTCTAAGTGCGACAATCTTGAGACGGCCGTGGCCAACACTGAGCAGCAGGACAATTGCGCCCTCAAGGATGCCCGGGCCAAGCTGGACGAGCTGGAGGGAGCCCTGCAGCAGGCCAAGGAGGAGCTGGCCCGGATGCTGCGTGAGCACCAGGAGCTGATGAGCGTGAAGCTGGCACTGGACATGGAGATCGCCACCTACCGCAAGCTGCTGGAGGGCGAGGCGGGGACACGCGGTGCCCAGGGAGATGGGCTGTGGGCGCTGGTGTCTGGCCAAGGGGCCAGCAGGGATCTGGAAAGCAAGAGAGGATAGTGCCGGGACAACAGTAGTGTGGCCACAGCGAGGGGACGGCAGACACAGCCCTAGGGCAAGAGTGCCACCGCCAGTGCCCGGGCCGGGAAAGGCACCCAATAAGCCTGCGGCCGCACTGGAAGAAAAGCAGCCGCTGCAGCCCAGGGCTTGTCTGCCTCGCCCTCACCTCCCAGCCCTGCGTGTCGGGGCTGGGTGTCGGATGCTCGGCTCTGCTTCTCCGACTTGCAGTCCTGATGGACGCGGGTACCTTCCCTTCCCGTTACGCCCCAAGTGGGCTTCAGGGCTTCTTGTTTTCCTTGCTTGCCTTTTGCCCTGCACACACAAGGCTTTGCAGGTGCAGTCTGTAATTACCTTCTTTTTAAAAAATTTATTTATTTATTTATTTTTGACAGGCAGAGAGGACAGTGAGAGAGAGAGACAGAGAGAAAGGTCTTCCTTTGCCGTTGGTTCACCCTCCAATGGCCGCTGCGGCTGGTGCACTGCGCTGATCTGAAGCCAGGAGCCAGGTGCTTCTCCTGGTCTCCCATGCAGGTGCAGGGCCCAAGCACTTGGGCCATCCTCCACTGCACTCCCGGGCCATGGCAGAGAGCTGGACTGCAAGGGGAGAAACCAGGACAGAATCCGGCACCCCAACCGGGACTAGAACCTGGGGTGCCAGTGCCGCAGGTGGAGGATTAGCCTATTGAGCCATGGTGCAAGCCTGTAATTACCCTCTTGGCCCCAAGTAAGCTTCGCTCACCAAGAAGTGAGGAGAGAAGGGAGGGGCGAATGAGCAGGTGTCTCGGAGGCTTTACTCCTCCTCCTGGTGTGGATGGAGCCGTGAGACCCGCTGGTGTGCCCAGAGAGGGAGCCGGCCTGTCCTCCCCTCCACCCACAGCAGGGTCTTTGCAGGATGCCTGCATTATCAAGGAGAAAATGATGGGGTGCTTTCTCCTGCTCTGCCTGCTCCAGTTCACAAAGCCTAGTGAAAGGGAGTCTGGGATCTCCTGCTGCGTCCTGTCACCTGCCCACCCCCTTTCTTATCCGCATAGCCACTGCCCTTCACCAAATACCTAACCCCCTGCTTGCT